CTTAGTTCAATTCCAGTTGTGATCATTCACTTCTTTTTGTTTTTTTTCTTTCTGTTTTTTTACATCCTTATTGGAGTATAATTGCTTTACAATGGTGTGTTAGTTTCTGCTTTATAACAAAGTGAATCAGTTATACATATACATATGTCCCCATATCTCTTCCCTCTTGCGTCTCCCTCCCTCCCACCCTCCCTATCCCACCCCTCCAGGCAGTCACAAAGCACAGAGCTGATCTCCCTGTGCTATGCGGCTGCTTCCCACTAGCTATCTACCTTACATTTGGTACTGTATATATGTCCATGCCTCTCTCTCGTTTTGTCACAGCTTCTCCTTCCCCCTCCCCATATCCTCAAGCCCATTCTCTAGTAGGTCTGTGTCTTTATTCCTGTCTTACCCCTAGGTTCTTCATGACATTTTTCCCCCTTAAATTCCATATATATGTGTTAGTATACGGTATTTATCTTTCTCCTTCTGACTTACTTCACTCTGTATGACAGACTCTAGGTCCATCCACCTCACTACAAATAACTCAATTTTGTTTCTTTTCATGGCTGAGTAATATTCCATTGTATATATGTGCCACATCTTCTTTAGCCATTCATCGGTCGATGGACACTTAGGTTGCTTCCATGTCCTGGCTATTGTAAATAGAGCTGCAATGAACATTTTGGTACATGACTCTTTTTGAATTATGGTTTTCTCAGGGTATATGCCCGGTAGTGGGATTGCTGGGTCATGATCATTCACTTCTGTGGTCTCTAGAGTGCAGTCTTGAAAGAATTTGGGGTGAATTTCGCATCCCATTTTATTCTCATTCTCTTCCTATTTGTATCTCCTTCATAGAGCTCTGTGTCCCTCTAGATTCTCGATTTGGGGGGCGGGGGAACTAAATCTTTTAGTATGCTAGCAGAAAGTCAGGAGCAAATGAAAAGAGAAAAAATAAGGAAGGATAACCACAAATGAGGCAATAATATTGTTTTAATTAGAGCCCTGCCTGAGAGATTTGGCACCATACGTATGTGTAAACTTGAGGCAAGCTATGTACATATTTTCCACTGTCAAATATAGTTATCAGAATTAACAATTTCACAACCTCACTGGACCCTTGATTCCAGTGCCCTGCTTGTAGTAATACATGGCACTAAAGAGAGAACTTGAAATCTGCCAACTCTTTTTTCGCTGTCTGAATTAGCTTTGTATAAAAATGAAATTAAATGTTTTGTTTAGAAAATAAGTGAGACACAGAGAAAATTAGACCTGCTTAACGACCATAGGGGCGGTAGACTTTTCCCACATAACCCACAGACCACAATTGTTCAGACAGGTGCTGTGCACACATCTACTTCAGCCCTGGAGCAGGGGTGCCGGGTGGGAGGGGAGCCTTTAAAAATAATTTGAGAAACAATGGCATGAGCGGATAAGGCACATAGGGTTGCGTTTTACATACTTAAGGACTTTACACTCCAATTAAGAGACGAAGCAGTAGCGAACATATTTTTTTCTTTGAACCCAGTGAGATATAGTTGAAGGGGACAGAATATTGGTCATATTGTACAGAAATGCTGGTCAGGTACATTCTTCTAATAATCAGATGGGTTAGAATCAAACGCATAAGAATGGCCATCCCAGAAGGTTTTTTCATCTAGCCATGGCTTTTCTTAGCTTGACACAGAGTGGGCAGGCCAAGTCGTGTGGTAATTGAATGTTAGTATTCAACTAATTGCAGAGAGAAAAATGATGTGGAGAGAAATATTGTTCTTACAAGTGATTATAAGAATTTTGTGACCTAAGTGCTTTGGAGGGCTCTGTGTGGTAAGTTTCCTGTGTAGGCGTTCATGGATATAGGGGTATACCTGGCGCGTACTCCTTAAAAATTCTACATTCACTTGGTATATTATAGATGCCTCTAGCCAAAGTGTAATCTTCGGAAAGGGCTTATTATACAAACATCTGGAAAGCAATTTATTGAGTGGGCCTTGCCACATTATAGGTTTATTTCCTTGCTTCAGCATCCAGTTTCATCGGGCCGCTACGCGTTGTTAGGCCCAGTCTCTATAAACCGTCTAAGCACAATTACAACTGATGGTGAGAACGTTGCTCAGGAAATGCAGTAGAAGGTCACGGTGTATCCCAAGGTGGGTGCTCTGTAGTAAGTGTGATACCCAGGTGAAAGGGTATAGGCGTGGACTGGGGCCTTGGCCACAGGTATGTTTGGCCATGTGCTGTCATTGTGGGCGACTACCTGAGCAGCTCTACGTGGGGACATATGCACAGGGCTTTACATTTCGTGCTCAGGTATGCGTCAGCACATGTGTAGTTTGGTTTCTGGGCAGAGCTCACGAGTTGGAGCTGGCTGCTGCCTGACCCTTTTTTCCTCTTGTACTGTGGTAAGAGAGATTATGCTTCCAGAACCGACTCCCCAGAGAGCCAAACTCGTTTAACTGGCTGCTCCCTGAACGAAAATAATTACATCTGATAATGCACCGAAAAGGAAGTAAGAGGAAAGGAAAATAAGAATCAGAATGACATTTGCAAATTATGTTTGAATTCTCCTGGCTGAGCTCATTTTGTTTTGTTTTTTTTTTTGTTTTTTTGTTTTTTTGCGGTATGCGGGCCTCTCGCTGCCGTGGCCTCTCCCGTTGCGGAGCACAGGCTCCGGACGCGCAGGCTCCGCGGCCACGGCTCACGGGCCCAGCCGCTCCGCGGCATGTGGGATCTTCCTGGACCGGGGCACGAACCCGTGTCCCCCGCATCGGCAGGCGGACTCCCAACCACTGCGCCACCAGGGAAGCCCTAATGTTTTATTTTGAGGACCTTCTTCGCTCCGCCCTCTCAAGGCTCTCTGTTTCTTGCCCTTTTACGAGTGTTTTCCCTTTCATGCAGTCTTGTGGAATTGTGGGAGTTTTCACCTTGCCTTTTTGGCTTGCAAACTCGATGAGATGGACTTTGCTATCTTACCTTCCATTGCCTTCAGAGATCCCTCCCTATGCGCAAGCCCACAGATAAGAATTTCCCTTTCTCTCTGTGATGTTCTTTCTCCTGGCTACTCCTCTGTTTACTTAGCTTTCTGTCAACCAGCCACACACCTGTCTCTCTTCTGAGATGTAAGGGGATTGTTTAACTCTCATCCCCTCAGACAAACTCATGCAACTCCAGGAATAGTGAAAAGAAGACTCAACTGGTTGGGAGGTTTCTTTACATATGTGTTTCCGGCACTGAGACACTCTGCCTCGATAAGGTATTAGTGGTTATCAGTATTAATAATAAAACACAACACGTAATGTAACAGACGGGACCATAATATGGCTAATGTCACATGTGTACAATATAGTATAATATCATATAAGCTACAATTATGATCTTCTAAAATTTACCTTGTTATTAAATCACTACAGAACTAGATCACATATTCGGTTACCTAGGCAGTGAAAAATCACCATATTTGTTTCAGATCAATCAGAATTAAAGAAGTTGGCTTTGCCGGCCATGGAATCAAGTTAACCAAGGGCAAAATAAAGTTTTTATATACATGGAAGAGTGGTGACCACCAGTTCTCTTCAGAGAGAAAGAACTGGGTTTTTGGAAATATAAGCTGATGATATAGAATTCTATAGAAATATAAGCTGATGATATAGAATACAGTCATGTAAAGAATCTCTGGCCAGGTAAGCAAGACACTCGCAACTATAGTCTACTCAGAGGAGAATTGGGAACTGGACAGATGGTGAAGGATTGGGTGCGGAAAAGATTGTCATGGTATACACCATTTTATATTTTTATTTTTGGATCATATGAACATATTTCCTTTTTGTTAAAAAAAGAGAGAGAGGAAGAGAAGACGGCTTAGTCCTGACGCTTGCTTTCATCCAAGTATTGGTAAGAATGAGTGTCTGTGTCTATCTGTATATGATGGGCAGGGAAAGCTCCGAGAGTTGCAGACTTAAATCGTTTTATTGATAACTGCTATCTGCTCACTGGTAGTGAGAATGTGGTAGAGGGATGTTTCAGAGAAGGAAAGCAAATGCATAACTCATCTCTCTTGAAATCTGCCAACTATGGATTCATTGTCTGAATTAGTTTTGTATAAAAATGAAATTAAGTGTTTTGTTTAAAAATTAGGGGATACACAGAAAAAGAAAATTAGACGTTCGTAAGGACTGTAAGAGAGAGAGATCTTGGGCTTCCCTGGTAGCGCAGTGGTTGAGAGTCCACCTGCCGATGCAGGGGACACGGGTTTGTGCCCCGGTCCGGGAGGATCCCACATGCCGCGGAGCTGCTGGGCCCGTGAGCCATGGCCGCTGAGCCTGCGCGTCCGGAGCCTGTGCTCTGCAACGGGAGAGGCCACAGCAGTGAAAGGCCCGCGTACCGAAAAAAAAAAAAAAAAAAAAGAGAGATCTTTCCCACATAGCTCATGGACCACAATTGTGCACCATTCGTGAACTTGACCAGTGGAGCAGCAGTCTAAGGTGGCAGGGGAGCCTTTAAAATAATTTGAGAAACAATGGCATGAAAGGATAACACCAGATCAGGGCTGGATTAGCCGTATTAGAAAAATGGCAGGAAAAAATGTTCTACCAGGGCTTCCCTGGTGGCGCAGTGGTTGAGAGTCCGCCTGCCGATGCAGGGGACACGGGTTCATGCCCTGGTCCGGGAGGATCCCACATGCCGTGAAGCAACTGGGCCCGTGAGCCATGGCCGCTGAGCCTGCGCGTCCGGAGCCTGTGCTCCGCAACGGGAGAGGCCGCAACAGTGAGAGGCCCGCGTACCGCAAAAAAAAAAAACAAAAACGTTCTTCCAGTTTGAATGTCAGATAGTTGGATAGAGATGAATTGGTGGCTTGGAGCGTTCCAGGTACCTGTGTACTTAATAACTAGTTATTTGGAGAGGTGTTTTAAAATTCTCTGTGTGCTCCATTTTATTTTAGTTTTTCAGAACAACTCAATCCTTGGGGATTATTCTCTAGTTCTCTTTGCATCCTCGGGGGGTCAAGTGCTGAACTGGACTGCTGTGTGGCAATGGGAGATGAGAGACGCATGACGCGGATGCTGTTGGAATGCAGTCTCAGTGACAAGTTGTGTAGTAAGTACAGATGATATAGAGATCTGCCCTCTGAGTTTAGGATGATGGAGATTAAGATCTGAATAGATTCTGGAAGGAAGATCATTTGATTTCTAATAGAAATGAAGCAATGGTGAGAACTGAATTGGCACTAGTGGCTTTGGGCTGAGGGGGGAGAGTGGCAATCATAGATCCAGATGTGCTGCATCCTCCAACTCAGTAGGAAAAATGAGAGACGAGGCGCATAGCATACTTCATGGGCTAAGAGACAGGGACATTGGGATTTCAGAGCAGGGAGTTGATCCCGATTGTGGTAGAGGGATCAGCAGG